CCAGCCCTAATGTCTATGAAATCTATGAAATCTTTGAAAATAGGACCATTCCCAATTATATCATCCCACCCAAGGCTTTGTTTAGCCTAGTCTTAAAAACCTCCAAGGAGATTCCACAACCTCTCTGGGCTGTGAAGTTCAGCAGCTCTCCTACCAGGGCTTGGAGCATCAGAGGAGAGATTTTTTTTTAGAGCTGTGAACACAAATGTACACAAATGGGAGCTGACACTAGCTCCTGAACTCCCAAAACACTGGCCCTGGAGCTGAGAGAGCCCTTCCCTCTTGTATCCCCTCTACTTGAGGGCATCATTGTCCTCCTGCACACGCACACATATACTGCAAACAACTGTTGCCCACCCTTGCTGTAGCACAAGCCCAGTCAGCTGATCCTCTCAGTTTCCCAGTGGGGTTGGACATTTCTGAGTCTCTAGTTTTCCAAGCCCTTTGTTCTGTTCTCATCCCACAGGTTATGTATTTATTACAAACATCCCTGCTGGTGCCATGGACATCCTCATCATTGAGCGAAGGAAAACTGAAAACATTCTGGGTAAGCAGCAGAAAAGAATGCCATTGAGAGCCTGGTCCTGCAGCTTGAATTTGGGGCAAGGGCCCTGACTGCATGTATGGTATATCACGGTGAGGGTGGGGAAGTTGTGGAGGAGCAGAAAGCAGTGGAAGGGACATGCAAAAAGCTCAGTGGGAGCCTTCAGGAAGCCACAGGCATAAATGTTGCATGGCTGTGGGAGGCAAAGAATGGGTAGAAGTAAAGAGGCAGTTTCATGTGGCTCTCATCCCTTCAGGAGCTGCGCCACCAGCAATGTTGCTTTGAGTATTCTTGTCTTGGCTTTCTCTGTAGCCTCAGGCTTTGGTCACTGCTGTTTTGATCTGATGTGGAAAACCCTTGTATAGCCAATTATAGGAAAATGACCCTGCTATCATTTTCTTTTTTAAAGAAGTTAATTCACTCCCTTCTCTGCTCCCCAGGATCAGTGCTGTAATGCTGTGAATATAAACTCATGAGCTGTTGTTGACTTCTCGTAGGAGTCTGCTTGGAGTTAAGCTTCCTATCTTCCTACTTCTGTCTGCTCCCCTCTTTCTGTCTTTGCAGCACTGGCAGATGAATATGGGCACTTCTTCTTCAATGGGAACTCAGCCATTGACAATCCCCAGAACTTCAGGGTTGCTGGCACTGTGTTTAAGTACCGCCGGCCACCCAGCCTGCACTCTGATGGCCTGGAGTACATCATTGCCCATGGGCCCACCAACCAGTCTCTGAATGCCATGGTATGTAAGGATCTAAAGATCAGGCTGCTTCCTTGCTTGTGTTCTTTATGACTTCAAAGCCTACAAATATCGAATCAGATGAGGGAATTCATGCAGCATTCACTGCTGCATCATTCCTTACACTGATGTCTTTAGAGATAGCCTGGCACTGCCCAAGCTGGGAGCTACCCTTTAGCTGTTGTGGTGGCACAGTTTCTTCTGTGTTTCTCACCAAGACATTATTCTTTCACTCATAGAATCATAGGGTTGGGAGGGACTTCCAGGCTCGTCTAATTCAACCCCTCCACAACTGCAGGGTGTGCAGGGTGTAGGATGTGATTAAAATATTTCTTTGTGGTACATGCTAGTGAGATAAAAGGGTTTCTATTTCCTCATCTCTTGCTTCCAGTACTATAACTTTAATGGGAAAATGCCTCATATCACTTATGACTATACTGTGCCACGGACACCATCACCAGCTTTCCAAACAGCTCCCCCCACCATAGAGGCACCTCCTTACCTTAATCCGCCAGAGTCCAGTCAGAAAGATCAAGTTCTGATGCCAGCAGATTCCAGGGCTGCCCAGGACTTCAATGCCACTTGGATTTCTCTCTCATCGGATGATGCCAGAGACCAACTCCAACCACAAGAAGAACCCGAAGACATGAGCTTCAGCAGCGAAGCCTTCTTCCAGAGTAACTTGGCTCAGCCTGGGGATTGGGGCTGGGAACAGGGGAAAAAGGAGGAAGATAAGTTTGGCTTCCAGATAAGACAAGTCTGCCTTGCCAACAGAGTGGGAGAGGAGGAGGAGGTGGCAGTGGGTGGAAAAACAGACTTGGGTTTGTTTCTTTTTCTTGGCTACCTTGGGTCTGGACACCTGCTGTACTCTTTGAAAGTAAGACTTTTAAGAGGTATTTTCAGCATTGCCCTGACTGCTTCCACTGAAATCAGTAGGAGCTTTCTTAGTGGGGAGGGTGGGGGAGGATGGTGGATCAAGAAGGAAAGATGGTATTCTAACCTCAGTTGAGTCACTAATGCAATGGCATTTTACTTTAGCCCTCAGATTAAATCAGATTTCCATCAGTACAACCATACCCTTCAGTGTGGTGCGGCCAGAGCTCCCAGAGAGCAGTGGGATCAGGGCATCCAGGCTCCATCTCTTCAGGAGGTTATGTCACCGGGACC